CTGAACTGTTGTCTCCCCTGGACGAGTCCCGCGCCAGCATCACCTCGGTCACCAGCTTCTCCCCGGACGACGTGGCTTCCCCGCAGGGTGACTGGACGGTGGTAGAGGTGGAGACCTTCCACTGAGCCAGACCCTTAGCCCCGCCCACCATACCCATCCCTGCCTTAGGACCCGCCCCTCTGGCTACGCCTCTGTGTCTTAGACTGCCCGCCTATCTGCTCTCCTTCGGGAGTCTGGCTCCCGTTGGATTGGACGTAGCCCCCTAGAGCCCTAGATTTTGGGTCAGGCTCTCGACCCACCCACGCCTGTGGCCGAGGTCTTTCCCTCGAGCCCCGCCCCTTTGGCCTGGAAACACGCCGACTCCCCCTCGAGCCCCGCCCCCTCCCTCCGCTTAGGCTCCGCCCCGCGTCCTGTGTATTGTCTACCACGCGCTGCCCGAGTTTGCAATAAAAGCCGGGACGCTGCAGCCTGTGCGCCTTCGAAGTCGCCTAGGGGGTCTACCGCGGGGCGGCGAGAGGGGCTGGGCCTGCCGGTGCTGGAGGCTGTGCGCGAGCGGGTTGTAGCTCCGGCTGAAGGCCTCCCGCGCCCCACGCAGATGTGCCTCTTTGCTAAGGAGAATGGGCGCGTGAGGCAGGCTTGGGGTGGGACCTGGTGCTGAGTCCCCGGCGCGGCGCCCCCACGCACGTGCGTGAACGTGGGCTTTTTCCTGTCTGACTCGTGGTGGACAAGTTAGGCGCAGGAGCGGCCCGGTGGAATTGCCCGACCACCGGATGGCTGAGCTGAGGCGTGCCCAGCGTTGTTGAACGACCGAAGCTCTTCCTATACTCCCCTAAGGGAGCCGGCAGCTCTTGCGGGGAGGGGGAAAGACGTGCAGGAAGGGCTCGCCCAGGTCCGGGGGCGAGGGTGGGGGACCTCTTCCTGAGGCCCCCTCGTCACGGTGCGCGCCCCTTGACCTCGCACGCCTCGCACGCCCTGTGCCTGCATGCCGAAGGGAGGGGGTCGTCTAAGACCCAGTGGCTATCTCCGTTCCCTCCTGCGCCCTCCCAGCCCGCGGGCACACTGCCCTCCGCTCACCGAGGAGGTTCCGATGCAGAAGGTAGGTCTGCAGCTGCGCCCAGGACTCCTCCGGCCCCGGGGCTCGAGGGTACAGGATCCTCCTGCGTCAGGCTTCCTTGTCCCTGGGGAGCCGACTGTGCTGAGAGGGTTCTGCGGGAAAGGAGCAGCCTCTCCCAAGGTGGGGTGGGAGACCAGGAAGTCCTCACGAGGCCCTTTTGTGCCTCCCAACCCCTGGGCCTCATCTTCCCCTCCATCTCAGGGTGTCATCCTCAAGCCCCTCCAGCCAGACAACCTTGCCTGGGCCCACAGTCGAGAGTCCTCAACAAAACTGCCAATCTGTCTTCACCTGTTTCCCCCATCAGAATTCCTGTCCTTCCTCCTGCAACTGAGTCACCTCGACCCTGGACCCCTTTAGCCCCACCCAGACCCGTTCTCCCCAGTGTCACTCCAGAAAATGCAGCCCCTAGGCCTTTTCTCCCTGAGGGTCCTCCCTGGTGGGGGGGACCACAATCCGCAGAGCAGGTAAAAGACAGAGTGGGACCCTGTGTCGGACCCTTAGCCCTGTCTCTGTCCCTAGACCCAGTCCCTGTAGTCCACCCTGTAGCCACGTTCCTGTCAGACCTAATCCTGAAGCCCTGCCTGTCCCCACCCCTCATGTCAGTCTGGAGTCCTAGGAGAGAGTCGGCCTTCTCCCAGTGGGACCGGGCACCTCCACCCCTAGGGGCCACGCTCCCCCACTCAAGCTCGGTTCAGTGGCAAGCCACAGAGATTCCCTTTCTAGCTGGGCCCTGCAAGGACCCAGGTGTCCTTGCTTCCAGATGCCAGGACAAAGTCAAGGGTAGGGGCTGAATCCTGACATGTTGGGCAGCCAGGGCATCAAGACCACGCCTCTAAGATGGAGCAGGGCAGAACCTCAGACACTTCCCCCAGGGCCCTGCCCCACCCCCGGAGCCAGCTGGGGTGGATGACCCTGTGGGAGCAGGAGGGGTGGCAGCTCCTACCTGGGGGGAGGGTGTCTCAGTGTTAAATCTGTAGGCTGGGAATGGTGCGTGGAGACACCATTGTTGAGCCATGGGTCAATATGTGGGACTTGGCTGTCCTGGTGCATAACCGGTGTCACGCCTTGCTCCCTGGCGGGTACCAGGTGGCAGTGGGTAGGGGCACTTTGGGTGCAGAGGGCAGGGCCTGGTTGGCATCTGCCTGGACCCAATTAAGATTCTCTCCCTGGGAAGCCTCCCTTTGCCATCCCTGGCTCTGCCG